GTGTTGACAGAGTTAACTAAAAAAACTGCAATCTCTGTTTCTTCTGCTTAAAGATACTGAAAAGTCAGTAACTATGTTTGACTGAAGTTGTATCCAGTGTAGATACAGACTCTTGGTTGGTGTATTATGATTGTTCTGTTGTTTTGCTTCATCTCAGAACTTTAAGAAAAATACCTGTAGTGTAAATCATAGCAGAGACTCTCCTATGATAATGTAATTTTGTACTCATCCCCATTATCAGCTTAGTGACCGTGTGTATGTGTCAAAACTACTGTGCTTTTTTACGACTATTTCTCTGATCAGGGAGATTATCAATACAGGAAAAAAAAATAGCAGTGATTTTCATTCAGTAATCCTTTCTGTGGCAATAGTATATGGTAGTGGTGACAACCATAAGTGATATTGCATTGCTACTTCTGTATTTACTCCTTGTTTTTAATTTTCTAAAAATACATAACATTGAGAAAATCTTGGGGTTACAGCCTGAACTAAATGAAAATATTTTGTAGGAAAAGAGTATCATTTTAAATACAGCTTACTGCAGATACAGTAGAAAAATAGGGAACATATCTTGGAAACAAGAAAATGGGTTGAGAGAAGTAGCGCTCAGGATTTCACCCCAAAATGGTAGAGACATCTTATAGTTGATTAATCTTTTTTTACAGATTTTCCTAGGAGAGGAGCTTTAAATATATATACAGCTTTCTAAAATTGACCTGCAGATTCCCTATTGCAGGGCCCTTGGGCATCAGGGTTACCATGGTCTCCTGCATGGGCACCACCATTCATTCTCCTTGGAATGAGCTACTAGTCTCTGGGTGAAGGGCTTAGTTTCATGCAGTACTTGTGTGGTGACCAGTACCCTACGATGTGTTACGAGTTCAAACTAAATGTTTCAGTGGTCCTTTCTGGTACTTCTTTTGTAGAACATTATAATTTTGAAATCAGATAGTAAAAACTTAATTTGTCAATGAAATAAATATTTAGAATCGAGTAATACCCCTTCTGCATAAACTCATACAAACTATATGTGGTGATTTCTCACGTAAAAAGTATGCCTTTTATTAATGACAGTGTTTAACTGGCATAAATGGCGAAACTGGACACATCCTGTTTTTATTGCTGTTTTTAAGGCCCGGCTTATAATGTGTCAACATAAAGAGGCCAATCATGGATTACTTTAATGCAGCTATTTCTTAAATTTTCAGTCCTTGATTTCTAGTTTTATGTCTCAGAAGCAACTTTTTTAATGAGCTTTGTAGGGCGTTCAATCTAGGAAAAAAGAACTATATTCTGTTAAAGCTCATACATCATCAGTGTAGATGTCAGTGACAGTCTAGTCACTGGGCCAGATTTTTGCAATGCAAATATCAAGCGTATGCAAATGCTTGAGATAATGGAACTGAAAAGATGCATTAGAAAGCCAAACCTGTATATAATAGTTCATGACCAACTCATGATCAACTCAGAACCCTCACACTGTTGGCTGTGTTAACTTCCACACTGAAGATGCTTAAATGGAGTTAGCAGCAACAAAATTATATTTTAAAAATTTGAACTAAATCAATGTCATATGTCAGTTATTTCTCTAACTGCTGTAATTGCTGTAGCAATGATAGATGTTAACCCCCAGGATATCCTTTTTCTTTCCTTAGAGGGAAAGGCTGTACAGTCATATATTTCAGAGAAGAGCAAGAAAAAAGATTTGGGTGCACTGACAAATCTCACAAATACTTGCATTTCTCTACTACAGTGTGCAAATAATTGATTTTTCAGTTAGGTGTCTGGAAAAAAAAATTAGATCAGCCTGTGTCACAAACCTAACAGCATTGTCATTAAAAGGCTTTCCTGCTAACAATGACTATGTGAATTTAAATTCCAGTCTCAAAATCCTGGCTGAATGCCATGATGATTGAAGATAAGGGTGGCAGCTCCTAGGTAGTGTGAGTAGGGTTTTGTAAGGACGTGAGGCATGCATGATCTCACACACTGTCTTCCTCCCTTCCATCCCTCCTGCATGTCCCTTCATAGCAAATTTTGAACCAAATTTGCCAGATGAACAGAAGGCAAGGTTGCTTTTGATTAGATTCCTGCAGATTCCTTCAAGAGGGAGCCTGGGATGGTTGCGCTGGCCAGAGAGTGGCCGTCGGCCCAGCCGGGCTGTGTTCAGCTTGGCAGAGGCTGGCTGGCGGGCAGCCTGCCTGCTCAGCCCCTGCGGAACTCTGGAGGGAGCTTGGGAATGACTGGGGCAGCTTGGGATGAAGACAGCAGGGAGGGCAGGGCTTTTACTGCTACACCAGTCCTTAAGAAAATTGGTCACAAAAATAACCCATTTTTCCTGAGAACTTGGTGATCAGACTGACTTGATGGATAGATGTGAGCCAGTCAAAACCACATATTTGGCAAATATATTAATGATTGTAAAAATATTGTCTGACTCCTTCCTAAAGCTATTTGTGTAGAAATTTCCATTACTTAGTATATTTGATAGTCCCTATAAATTTACATCTGATCCTTTTCATCTCACTGTCTTCATCTTTAAACTTTAGGAGAGCCTAGGTGATGACAGGAGAGCAGTAGTGCCTACACTCTTCTCTGGTGGCTCTTTTTTCATTAGTTTGAAGTAGATTATTATTCAGAACAACAGGGTATTTTTAGAAACAGTTTTGTAGAATATAAATGTAGAACTGTTCAATACACTCATTTTTATGCAGAGTCATAATGCCAGCAAAACTCCATGGTTGCACTTTTACCCTCAAGAATCAAGTGGAACTTTGCAGGAAACAAATCTAGCAGAAAACATCTATTGGAGTGGAAGAAGCGGTGCTGCTGTGCTAAAGAGTGATGGCGTACATGATACATGATAATAATAGCTACATGAATAAAAGTGTTTCTATCTTCCATTATAGTCATATAGTGGAGTTCTAAACTTTGATTTTTCAAAACCAAAATATGTTCTCTTTTCCCCAGTGCATCTTTTTTTATTTTTCAATGCATGAATTTGAGGTCTGATTCTGCCACGTCATGAATACTGTCAAATTATAATGCAGTCTTTGGGATTTAGTTTTTTCAGTTTTTTACAGCAATGAAGTGTTATTCAGGAAAGATCTAAAATCTCATGTATTCTTTAAACAATATAATGTAATTAATAGTTGACGATTACTTTCAGTAGTAGTTGCACTTCTGTTCCTCTGTAGAAAAGGCTAGAGGCATTAGATGTGTGGCATCCATCATTGTAGTTCCTTCCTTTCTTTTCTTTTCTTTTCTTTTCTTTTCTTTTCTTTTCTTTTCTTTTCTTTTCTTTTCTTTTCTTTTCTTTTCTTTTCTTTTCTTTTCTTTTCTTCTCTTCTCTTCTCTTCTCTTCTCTTCTCTTTTCTTCTCTTTTCTTCTCTTTTCTTCTCTTTTCTTTTCTTTCTACATACAATGTAACCCTCTGGAGTACAATGCTATGGGGAATTTCTATAATGGTATTAGTTCACAATATTTTCCACAGTTTGTATTGCATTAAAGCACCTCTGTCCCAATCACCAGGAGGGCTCACGGGTGTTACGACACTTACATTGCATCTGGAGTGGCTAAGGGCTAGTCTTCCCACTGTTACTTAATTTACTACTTTTAAAGTCTCTGTCAAAACTAACAGAGGGTGCTACCAGTACCTGCCTGAAGACCAGACATGACTTTTGTTGCCAATAAGAGCTAAGCCTGAGGATTTTGTTTTGGCAATTTTATGCATAGAATGGTAATATTTGAATTAACGAGGTTTTGTTTCATAGTTCTGCAATTTATTTTTTTCTTCGGTTTCCCAGGAAAACATTAAGTAGAGCTAAGCCTAGTACATAATATCTTGATATTGGTTATGGGGAATTCACAGAATCATGGGATAATTTAGACTGGAAGGGATCTCTGGAGGATGATTAGTCCAACCTCTGCTCACCAATTAGAGAGGTGAGGCCTTGTCCAGTCAAGTTTTGACTGTCTCCAAGAGTGTAATTTCTACTTTTTCTGTGGACAACCTGTACCAGTGTTTGATCACCCCCTCACAGCAGATTTTTTTTCAATATATCTAATTGGAATTTCCCGCATTCCAACTAGTGTCTGTTGCCTCTCGTCCTGTCACTGCGCTCAAAGAAGAGTCTGGCTCCATCTTTGCTGTACTCCATTAAGTAGCTGAAGACTGCAATAAGATCTCCCCATAGCTTTTTCTTAAGGGTGAACTAGTCCAGCACTCTCAGCCTGTACTCGTGTAGCAAGCACATAAGTCCCTGACCATCTTCATGGTCCTCCCTTGGCCTTGCTTCAGAATAGCAATGTCAGTCTTGTATGGGGAAGACCAAAACTGGACACAGTACTCCAGATGTGATCTCACAAGTGCCAAATGGGACTGTAGGATTTGGTACTTTCAGGAAAACTAATATGTAATGAACATTTTTTGGCCATGGAAGAAATTTCATGTCTGACTCTTCATATAAGATTTATACTGGTGAAATGTAATTGTTTTTAAAGGAGTCATTCTTGATTGACCTCAGTATAAATGAGGGGAAAATGAGGCCCTTTACAACTCACCTTAGTCAAAAGATCAGAGTCCTGACTTTCACAAGGATAGGTCAGTTTGAATAGCAATAAAGAATAAATTTGTTACTTGACAATTGAGTTACAGATCTGGCCTTCAAGACAAAGGATAAGAAATGAGGATGGTATTCCAACAGTTAGGTGTCAGCAAGTCTTGCCATGTAAAAAAAGAGGATGAAGTGTACACTGAATAGTAAACACTACTCGATTTTAATACTTAAGATTTCATCTTTGATTTCTTCTTCCAGTCTAGATTATGTAAATTTTACCTATAACTATACCATGGAAATTGTATTTATGTATTGTGTATTTCTTTAATTATCAACTATTCTCTGGTTTTGCTTTGACAGTATAGTGGGCCATTGGGATGCTCTGGAAAGATTAAGACATGTTGAATTACCCAAAAGTAAATGATCTTTTCTACATTTCAGCTTCTCCAGTTGGTAACGGATATATCAAGCCACCTGTCCCACCTGTTTCTGGTACACAGAGAGAAAAAGGACCTCCAGCCATGTTACCTATCAACGTTGACCCAGACAGCAAACCAGGCGAATATGTCCTGAAGAGCTTGTTTGTTAACTTTACTACTCAGGCTGAACGCAAGATTCGCATCATCATGGCAGAACCTCTCGTGAGTAAAAAGAAACTCTAAGTATATATGGACTTTGCTTTGAATTTATTTTTAAATAAGGCTTGCTTGCTGTGCAATGGAGAATATTTTGCTTGTAATCTGCGTTGGAGTTTGATAGTGTTTTCCAAACAGTAAGATATGCTACTATGGCAATTAGAAGGTTGTGGGAGAGGACAGAGGTATGCAAGATATGCCACAGGGGTGACATGAAAAGGAATTAATATTTTATTTCTGTTTGCAGTATGGACACGTGTTAATGTTACTGAGAGGTAGAAGAGGTGTCAGCCAGCATAGATTTCACAGCTGGGAAAGCAGTCACTTGAGTCAAAACAGATCAGAAAATGCTGAAATATGATAAAAATCTGTATTTCTGAACATTACACTTTTTCAGCTAAAACATGAAAATAAGTAGCACTGCTGGTTCCCATTTGAGTTCTGATAGTAGTAGGTTTCATAAAATCTAAGAAAGTGCTATAGCACCTCTTTTCCACATATGAAAAAGCATGCAGCATTTGAAAAAGGAGCTACATTACAAGGTCTTGCACAGTCACTGAGAGAGCAGTCGTTATTTATATTTTAGGCAAATTTAACATACAAGTATTTCTGTTCCAAATTGTCTTATGTAACTGAACTTCTGTGAGTCTGCTATTTTAACCTGAGACTACAGTTTATATACATTCTTGTTATTTTGATATAGGGAAGACTAGTTCTGTAACCTATATTTTAGTTCTGACAAGGTAAAAATTAAAAATAAAAATAACCAGGAACTTGTATTTCTGAGCTGTAAGGGAATTTTTATAAAATCTTACAACATATTTGTTATAAAGCACAGTGTAGAACACTTAGTTCAGTTCCCTATTTTCAGGTCTGGATATTCTGAACAGTAAAATTAAGATCGTCTTGGTTCTGATGACATCTGCTTAGCTTTATGTCTTGATTTAGATTCAGAAGCATTTGCTGCTTGGAAAGTTTTTCCAGACTTTCCTCTGAAACATTAGGTAGATGCAAGATGACAGAAATATCTTACAGAATTTGGAAATAATACAAAAAAACCTAACAGGAAGGAATATTTTGACAAGGATCCATTTTTTTCTTCTTTCATGAGTCCCCTCCAAATCCCAAAAATTAGAATGAACTGACACGTCCTTTAAAAAAAAATGCCGGTAGCTATTTATTACTATCCATTCTTCATGTGACGCACAGTGAACATCATCAACATTTTAAGACAAAATGTGTTGTAAAATTACTTGAGAAGATCAGGGAAATGACAAAAAGACCAGGACTGAGAACACAATTTCCTTGCAGTACCTCTGTCACTCTGCATTTTCATGTAATATTTCAGTCATGGATATGAACCAGTGACTCTGATTTATTCCCATTTCACCTTGTGTTAAGACGATTTTGAGTTGCCGTGTGTTGATATATTATTTTTGTCTCTTTGTGAAACTATGAATATCTGAATGCTGATCTTATCTTATTCCAGAGGTTGTTCAGTGAAATTTTGTTTGGTAAATTCAATGTTGAAAGTAAAAATATGCAAGAGACTGGAATGTCACCTTCTTCTTTTCAACATTTTCAGAACATATTTCTTACAGGGGTCTAGCCGTGAGACACTAACAATAACTCAATGGCATACTCACATTTTATTAATACTAATATGACTTACAAGTCATGGTATGCTGCTATTTGAGGGTGACTGTGGCAAATGTGTAAGCAGGTTTTTGTAGACATTCAGTCAAAATAATCTTGAAATAATTAGGTTGTAATGAAAGAAGTGACAAGGGAAAATGGCAAAAATTATTCTGGAATTATGGCTAAGAATTTAAGTCCGCCCTTTCTGCAGGGTAGCTGTTGGATGTTTAGCAGCTTTGTTCCCACAATTTTACTCTACTGACTAGAATTGTGACCAGGAAGTCCCAGGGATCTGTGAGACAAAGATTATAAATTGGTGGTGCAGAGCCACCCTTTGGCCTTTTTTCACAATAGGTAGTCAAATGGTAAGCTCTTTGAAGATTCTGTTCTAATTAAACTCAAAAGTACTTCAAAGAAAATCAAACTTGCAAAGTACTCTAACACTGAGATGTTTCTAGTTTGAATTCTCTAAGCTATTACAAGGTATGACGGTTTAATTTTATAATGAGTAATGAATACTTAAGATATCTTTTAGAGAAGCTAAAATGATCTGTTTATAATATAATTGCTTTTTCCTCCCTTTTATCACAAAGTGTAGCTGAGGTTCAAGCTCTGAAGTTACTGTGGGATTAAATGATAGACTCACTGATATATTCTTTACCTAGACATGTCTTTTCATACATACATTTTGCCTGATTATCCTTTCTGGTTATCATTCCTGTTGTTTTTATGAATTTTTCTCTCAGTTTCTTTGGGTTCCTTATGCCTGTTTGATATATCCATCTCTTTCTTTTGTGATGCACACAGAGCCCAACTGTAAATTACAGTGTTCTGACAACTATGGTGGAAAACAGGTTTGTGTCCTGCCATGAGTTGCAGATGTTAGCAAAGCACAAAAAATTTTTTGCTATTTTCTAGGGCAGCAGTGAAGGGCAAAGCACCCACCCCCTCCTGCAGCCCCATGAAATCTCAGCTTGGATAGCAAGATTCCAGGGGCAGAGAAAGCACAGGGCAATGTCACTTACTCCTCCTGCTGTCTTGGCTGTCAACCAAGTACAATTTGACATTTTGGTTACTGGATCTGGCAGTGATTGTCATAAAAAACCACACTCCCCAGTTAATATGTTTTCTAGGCATGAATCTAATGTCAACTATCCACTGCTAAGTCTTTAACAAGTTAGAATGGAAACCTTTTGTTCCCAGATGTTGGGGGTTTTTTATTACTTTGTCTGGAGAATATTGTACTTGGAATATCAGGTGAATTTTTTCACCTTTTTAGGGTCTCTGAAATATAACAAACATTTCAATAATTAAATTAAGTTCACAATTATGTGGCTAATTTTTAATGATTAAACTACTGTACCCATATTCTCAAGTTATATTAATCCAAATTAAAGGTATTTGATGGCAGAATTAATTAAAAGGGATTTTCCAGTTTATAAAATTAAAGTCACATAAATGAAATGTAATTTCTTCTTGATAACCTGTAATAATTTTCTCCTGCTTTTCTGTAAATAATTGTTCTCCTTTATAATGAATATTAAGAATTTTCCTGAAGACCTTTTTTCACAGCTGATTGCGCTCATATTTACATTTTTATCAGTTCATATGTTAAATCTTCTTTGCATTGCTTCACTTACAAACACAATTTGATATTTTATTACTGCTGATTTTTTTCTCAAGCAGTGGTGACCTTAAAATGAAGCTAGAACGAGGAAGCCAGGCAAATATTTTTGCCAGTTCAAATGATAAAATATGTTTACATATCTTAACACTGAAGGAAAAAACTCAGAAAATAGTTTCCTTTTTAGGACCGTTGATTATCACTTAGGGTGATAATTCATCCTGTGCGTACTGATCAGGCTAATCTTTAAATACGGCTTTCAGCTGTACTTACACACAGCTGTAGACATTGATAAAACATAGCGAGCTGCAGGCATTGACTGTGGTTAATGGTTAATTTAGCTGTTGGTAAACTTTCATTATGCTTTTCTCCTGCAAGCGTCGTCTTTTACTGAGCTTGTCTAAATTCAGGATCTCTCTGAATACTGAACTCAAGAACTGAATTTACTCATTATAGGATTAGGACTATCAGCATATCCATGTATTCTGCCTGTAGCTTTCTTTTTTCTTAGGTAGGTATATCTGTCTGCTGGAAAAAAACTGAAAGCAGTGATGTGGTTGATGCTAGTGTATTTATTACTTCTATTTCATTAGAAGCTCAAAGACATTAAAACATAGCCCTATATCAAAACAGAGCTGATGATAACAGCCAAGCAGGTGGTTAGGAAGACTTTGAAAGGGCAAGAATAATGCAAGTTTGTTTTAGCGAACAACCAACATGTATAGTGGCACTGCTGTCTGATTAGCTTTAATCTAGGCTTCATTTTCTCTAGGTATTGCAGAAGAAATACGCTACGGACAGACTTAGGAGAAAAGGAAGTAGAAGGGGTTTTGGTTTTCGAGGGCTGGGCTGTGATAACTGTCCTGGTTTTGGCTGGGATAGGGTTAATTTTCTTTCTAGTAGCTGGTATAGTGCTGTGTTTTGGATTTAGGAAGACAATAAATTTGATAACACACTGATGTTTTTAGGTTTTGCTAGGTAGTTGTAGTGTCTACACTAAGTCAAGAACTTTTCAGCTTCCCACGCCTTACCAGGTGCACAAGAAGTTGGGAGAGCACAGCCAGGATTGCTGACCCGGACTGGCCAAAGGGATATTCCCTGCCCGGGAATGTTCGTCATGCTCCAGATACAGAACTGGGGAAGCTAGCTGGGAGATGGGATTGCTGCTTGGAAACAGACTGGGCATCGGGGGTATTTTCTGCGGGTGGTGAGCAATTGCATTTGTGCATCACATTATATTATATTATATCCTATAGCCTATATCATATGGCATGGCATAGCATTATTATAATAATATTCTCTTCCTTTGTTAGCCTATTACACTGTCTTTATCTCACCCCACAAGTTTTTTTCCATTCTCCTCCCCATCCCACTGGGGGGATGGGTAAGCAAGTGGCTGCATGGTGCCCAGTTACCAGCTGAGGTTAAACCACAACATACCTAATAAGATTTATGTAGGCTGTAATAATACCAAGCAGTTTTATCATGCAGCTGTAATGTAGAATTTGCTGGTTTACATGGACTGAAATTCCAGCTGCATCACATGAGGAATGACTCCTTTGTTCTCATCTATGAGACACGTTAGTGTTACACATTTTTACATTTGAAGTCCTCATGAATAGTTTGGCACACACAGGGCTTTTGGACCCCTGTTTATTCACAGTGCACAGACAGAAGTTACTATCAAGAACAAGGAATTTCATGGAAAAGAGGAAAGGCAAACTGCCTTGTTTTGTTCTAACTA